AAAGTAATTTTGACAAATGTATTTGTAAAATTACAAATTCTTGTCAAATGATTCATACATAATACCAAAAGTATTAATCACAATCTGTTTTAAAAAATTACAACTGCTCTGCATAATCATGTCCCTCAATAAACTACAACGAAATTCCGTTACATGTATCCAGTGCCCTAAAAATTCTATTTTTTTTTTTCGTATCCCCAATTTTGCAACCCCAGTCAGTCTCGAGTTTAATAACATAATTATATGATTAATAAATGTAATGATGATATAAAAAGCATAATAATCAATTGTGCTATTTTTGCGCAGTATCTACAGGCAGTACAGTGGAACAAAAAAATACACTGTAAGTGTAGTTCTAAAAGCGAATCATATTTTAGGATTATCATCTTTATTCTTGAAGAAATATGACGCGTTATCATTTAACCGATCGGACCAAAATTTTCTGTCAGTGTTGCCAGATGACAGTTTTGCTATCCCCCAAATTTCGGCCAAGCTCAGGTTTTAAATAAAAATGTCCCCCATTAATGAGTGTCTGAATTAGTAGCGACTACTTCCTAAAAAGTAACTGTTGCTTTGTTATTACCTTACCAGTTTTGTGTTATTTTAAAATCTTCGAACCCATAGTTTTTGTTCACTTTTCCAAACTTTTGTTAAACCTTCTCCCAAATTTATCTCGATTACCAAATAATTTTGTGGGGGTTGGGAGAAGGGATCTCCCAACTATACTCGATTAACTTTTAGAACTTCACTGACTATGCTTACATTACATTAGACTCCAAGCCGTCAAATTGCAAAGTACTACAACGTAACGTAACTTTTATCAAATCTCTATAAAAAAAAAACTTAATCGCTAACAAACGTGTTGAAGGTAAACAATATATAGCCTCGTTACACGCTAACTTCATGAGATCACTATTGCCTGCTTTCCAACATTCGCAGAAACGAGCTGACACGTGGGACATAGGTAGGGCAGAGCATATCCTAATAAACCCCATTAAAATTGGCGTCGGTATTAATGAAAGTTCATTAAAATTAATATATTATATTAAACCCTATTAACATGGACATATTAATGAAAATTCATTAAACCCCATTAAAATTAATATATTAAGTATATTCAACCCCAATAAAATTAACGTTTTAATGAAAATCGTTAAACCCCATTAAAATCAATATTTAATGAAAATTCATTAAATCGCACCCATAACAGACTGGCGTTTTCTACAATTATCATATTTACTTGAATGCTGATTGACAAACAATAACTTCGTCCAGATAAAAATCCTTAACTACGCCATTAATTATACAGGATGCTACAAAATTAATAATCTATCCTCAATAAAAAAAAGTCAATTATGTTACACCATTAATACAGTAAGAGTTCACGAGTATGACGATACGATGACGTAACGTATAAAAAACGTTATTGAAAACAATTTATCATTAAACCGAATGCAATTTGTTAATTCTCTTATCAGGTAAAATATACGGAAGGAAATATATAAAAATCAGCGAGCAAACCCGCGTCAATATATATATATACATATATTTAAGTATTATTACTTATGACAGTATAACAAACGTATATACTTAGGCCCTTATATATCAATACAAATAAATATTTTTTGATTTCTTTCTATATCGTAACATACTATTAAGAAATCCATAATTATTGCATCTCGTCTATTGACCATTGGGGTAAGCAGAGACAATAAAACTCCAATGATTCTGATTCAATCAATTAATATCACATATACAACAAATATCATGATTCTTATATATTCGAACATATATAATGTACATATGATATCGTATATTGTAGACGGTTTATACAAATCGTATCTAATATTCACAATACAGTCTTACAGGGGAAAATAAATATCACTAGGGCACTTAATCGTCCAAAACAATATATATTTATACTTATACGTATAAATAATGACCGTGTAACAAAATCGGGAACTCAATGAAAATATAACATGGTAAGATCCCGTGATTTTTTATATATATATATATAAATTAATTGCTGTTCGTTAGTCTCGATAAAACTCGACTCGGCTACTTTTAGTCTTTAAATATTCGTGGAAGTCCAGGTTAAATATAAACTGTGGTAAAATATGAAGAAATTGTATGTAAAATAGTAAAAACGACAATTTTATTTTCCCATACAAACTGCTGATACCTGTCAAATAGGATGCGTTCAAAATTTATTGCCTAACTAAACTTAAAAAAACCTTTGACATATTTAATTTTGAAGCGGAACGCAGATCGTGTGGTCAGCTAGTTATTTATAAATATAACTAGCTGATATATCATCATTACATAGTATACAATAAAGTGGCTATCACTGTCTGTCCGTCCTTATGTATGCCTCAATCTTTAAAACTACGCAACGAATTTTGAAGCGGTTTTTTTAATAGATAGAATACAAGAGGAAGGTTTATATATATAATATATGTACATCCGAGCGAAGCCAGGGCGAGTCGCAAGTACTAAATATACTAAAGTTTCATTCCACATTTTTATGGTAGATTTTTGTAGCATATTTTTAACCGTATACTTCGAATATTGAACTTCAAAAACCGCTTCAAAATTCGTTGCGTAGTTTTAAAGATTTAAGCATACATAGGGACAGACAGCGACAGCGACTTTGTTTTATACTATGTAATAATGATGAGAGATAAATTTAAATATCCTCTGTTTTTACGTAACAAGAAGAAGAATATTCTCCATGTAAACGACCTTTATACGCAAGTATAAATAAGGAGTCACCCATAAAATAGGTAGAAACAAGAAATTCGAAACTGTGACGTCTCAAATTTTCATAAGTTTACCATGTGTAAACCGATCTACAAAACAATTTAAACCTTATACTTAAACCAATAAAGTTATTATTACAATGTCACCGTCGATGAGTGGCATAATTTATAGATAGGCCCCTAATAGAAGTAAATATTACTAAAATTACAGTGCAATTGTAAAGTAGCTATATAAAACTTGATATATTTGTCTAGAATACTAATGTATAAACATCTACAAACACAACAAGTAGTAGGTACTTCTAGTAATAGATACAAATTTATACAATCGCTAGTGTTCCCTAAAAATTTTACACAGTGAGGCCTCGCGCCAGCATTATAAACTATTATATTATAATAAATTGCATTTCTTTTAATAGCGACAGAAAATAAAGTTTCCTGATATTGACAGAGAATCACCAGCATATACTATGTGTCGAATTAATGCATTTATATTATTTTGTTTAATTGCGCTACCATTAGCATGTGTGAGACCACAAATATTCAGTGCGGAAACCTGACCATCGCTACTGAAAGTTACCACCTTCTCTATGGTTATCAACACACAAATAACACCGAACCTGACCAACGCTAACCTTGAAAGCCTAACGACCTTCTTTATAGGTGGTCAACACGCAAATAACACGTAATTCGATAAAATAAGACAAAACAAACACACACGTGTTTGTTTTGTCTTAAGCATGCTTTTGTAACTTGACGTCATTTGAGATTAACGATATTGTAGAATTTTGTATATATTGTAAAGTTTTGAATATATTGGCAACAGTAGAAATATTTACAAAGAAATAGTAGTTAGAAGGAATTTATAAAGATTAGTAGAAAATTTAGGATAGCTTTAGCACGTGTGAGACCACAAATATTCAGTGCGGAAACCTGACCACCGTTACCACCTTCTCTATTGGTGGTCAACACGCAAATAACACGTAACTCGATAAAATATACATGTGTCGATTTTGTTTTGTCTTAAGCATGCTTTTGTAACTTGACGTTATTTGAGATTATCGATATAGAAAAATCCCATATGGCGATAGTAGAAATAGTAGAAATAAGGAATTTATAAAGATTAGTAGAATTTTTAGGATAGCAATAAATTAATAGACTCTAGTGGAACATGGAGATAATTGGTTCCCTGTCAGTATCAGGATATATTTATCGGTGCTTAAGTTACCTAGATTCGCTCGCTCTCTATAACTGTCCATATTTCCCAAGAAATAGATCGATAAAGTAATAAAAGACAATTAAAAGAACTAGCTACGAGACCCCATTGTATATTGTACAGGATGTAACGTAATGAGTATAACAATCCAAGAACAAACCTCGCGGACACGTGACTTTTTATCTCATAATGAGAGTTGAGTTGCTTAGAAATGTACATGCATTTATTTAATTCGTTGCAAATTAAATGATAATCTAAATTCTCAATGTGCACCCTACAAAGACACCATTCTGTTACTTAATCCGTTTCTAGTAATATTTACATTTCTTTATATAAACATCAGTTTTTATGTTTGCAATTATATTTGCTGCCAGTGTTTTGGATTGTTTTGCCTCTTTTCATTACAGCCTGTATGTTACTTGGCCACTATTTGGACTATCAAAGTATTCGTCGTATTTAAACGACCCTACAAGCATAGCAATATAATATCTGACAGTCTTTCTACCTTTGTTGTACCTCACAGCTATAAGAATTAAATAAATAGTAGATTCAAATTGAAATATATTAAAAATATTATGGTATACAAAGAAATTTTCATATATTCTAGTATATAAAAACGGCTTAGTTCGAGTCAGCATTCTAAACAATCTAATATATTAAAAACTTGTGGCTAAATGCCTCTACGTTATTGATTAATCTATAGCATCAAAGTTTTATTGTTAAAATGATAAGTTTCATTTATACAAAATGTATTAACTTCTCAGTTAGAACCTGTGGTGTTGGTTCTCAAATTATTGCACCACATAACCGCAGTCCCATTACGTATAGCTACATCAAAAGACACGTAACCGTGTGATAATGTACAAGATATAGTTCGTAAGCTTTCAGCTTACAAGTCTTAGCACCGAAACCTTGGTTGTTTATATTTTTAGACCAATCATGAACACTTACGTTGATTTGTATAAACTCAAAACGTTCAAACAAAGCACCAAATTATAAATAGAGTTCTTAATATTTGTAACGCATCAATATGATTTCCATAGGCCTTTTATGGCTTTCAGTTTGGGCGATTTTTTTGTAGCCTCGAACTCCTGTTTGAAACTGATAAGGAACTTGTCGCGCAAACTGAGCCGCGGCGTCGACGGCTTGAGTAGGAACCTCTTTAGATCATTAGTAAAGCTCTTGGCTGTATAGTTCGTCTCGTCTTTCGATTCGTCGTTGCTCGATTCCAGGAACGAAACGGATTTTATCGATTGCACGGAATTCTTTCGCTCTCGCGGCGCGTCCTGTGTTTTTTGTCCCGTTTTCGTGCGGGTACCGACATTCTTGCGGGAAGGCTGGCTGTAACTTCTAGACACAAGCGAGTACTGATCGTCGTCGATCGAGTCGAGAGTGTCCGTTGATTTGTTACACACTCGACAGCAAACTTGACAGTGCTCCTTGTCGCTATGATACCGTCCGTTGCAATATACGTAGCTCTCTTTCACACGCGTACATCTATACGACTTACTCTTACTTTTCGAGTATTTAACTTGCGACAGTTTAGAATCGACACCTTTCCTCGAACGCTTACGTTTACACTTTGGACAATTATTGCGCGCAATTCTCCTCAGCTCTTTGAGGAATTCGTAATCTATTTCGAAGTAGTTCTTCGCGTCCGGTTCGGAATAGTACTTTAGATCGCTGTCGGTAGAGTCGCTTTTAGTTTGTTCCTTTTTCTTTTTGAGTTTAGGTTTGGTTTCGCGACCCGGATCCGAGTAGTACCTGATGTCTACGTCTGAAGAGTTGTAAGGATAGTTCGTATCTTTGTCGTACTTACAGTGTGAGCAGAATGTCACCGACTTGTGTCGAGGCGGGGTGGGGGGCAAAGGTCAGGCCTGTACGGACGGCACCCACAGCGTCTTGTTCTGCTCCTCTTTCACAGCCTCTTTGATTAGCGTGCAGATGTACGCGATGTTTACACCCGCTGGTATTTCAGCTGAAAAAATAATTACAATTTGTACTCCACATCAAAAACTGCCAGTCTATAGATACTCCTTAGGACTTGGATTCTTATCCTTGAATCTTAACGTTTATCCGAAATCAAAAGTCCCAGATATTTATAATTATGAGACATAAAATTAGTGGAAAAGTTTTACAATATCATAAATCAGAAATTCTATGCATACATACCATCAGGAAGATATCGAAATGGCATTAATTTGAGAAGGGATGGAAGAAACACAAATCTCTAACAATTAATGTACTCTGTACAATACGTAGGTATATGTATACTTTGAATAAAATTATAAAAATATCATCACACGTAAACTCTATCGTTTGCGAAAAATATTCACGTTACAAATAAATGATAATAAACCAAGGATAATCCACACAGCGCCATCTAGTCCCAAACTTAACAAAACTTGTGTTATGGGTACTAGACAACTGATATAAATAATATTTTTTTTTGTAAATATAATATACACAGAATATACCCAAACCAATACAAAAACGAAGCAAACGTTATTTGCACCGTGCGAGGAATGGAGCCCGCGACCATCGGAAGTAAGGCTGTCTAAATATTTACCATTGATTTATAGTTATTCAAATGTTTTATGACTTTATTATACGTTGTATTAGACCCACTCTTACTCTGAGGCTATAAAAAGATAGTAGGGGACTCACCCGATATATAATTCCTATATTCATTCTCCACCTTCAGTCCATGTTCGTACATCTCCTTGGCAGCTTTTGCGGATACTTTCTCAGTAGGATACCGCGAGTCCTTCATTTCTTTGATTTGTTTGAAAGATTTGAACTTTATAAAAAGGACTATGGGGTATATTTGCTGCTTGTGTAATTTCTCTATTGTGGCCACCGGGATGTCAAGGATACAGTGGATACCCTGAGGGAAGAAATGTTGTATTATTATCAATAACTAATAAGTATAATAAACGTTCCAGCTTCGCATGGATGTATTGCAATTTATTTTTTAATTCTCGGCTAGCATAGAACATACTATATCACGCATGTATTATTCATACAAACCTTCCTCTTGTATCACTCTATGTATTGGTAAAAATCGCATTAAAATCCGTTGCGTAATTTATAAGATATAATCGAACAGACAGCGGCTGGGACTATGTTTTATACTATGTAAACATATGTAATCCTAGACAAAGTACTGAATGACTGATTTTTTTACAGGATTGCGAAGTTGCTGCTCCTTCGGAACCGCAGCTGACTTTCACTACGATTCAAAACACAACATTTTTTAATCATTCTTAGAAATAGGGAGAAAATTATCTTGGAAGATTTAGTCTTCGACATCTAGTACCGAAGTCAAACTAATTAACAATTTATTTAAAAAAAACAAGTTCGTACCTTGTCCGCACGGTCCCGCAGCGCCTGCAGTGGCACGGCGTCCGGTCGTGCGTGAACGAACACGTGCGACCAGTCCGACACCAGCTTGCTGGTCACGCACTCACGCAGCGGACCCAGCACCACCACCGGACGCTGGCTGCCGTCTGACATCACAAACAAACAAACAAACAAACTCACGCACACACTCACACTGCTCGCTAATAATACCTCCACGGATACTGTCCCTGATTGCTCACAATCATATACACTTATCCTGCTCAATAATAATACCTGCACGTAGACTCACTAATTACTCACACTCACATATATTTACACGGCTAGTTATGGTAATAATACCTCCACGGATACTGTCCCTGATTGCTCACAATCATATACACTTATTCTGCTCATTAATAATACCTGCACGTAGACTCACTAATTACTCACACTCACATATATTTACACGGCTAGTTATGGTAATAATACCTCCACGGATACTGTCCCTGATTGCTCACAATCATATACACTTATTCTGCTCATTAATAATACCTGCACGTAGACTCACTAATTACTCACACTCACATAAATTTACACGGCTAGTTATGGTAATAATACCTTCACGGATACTGTTCCTGATTGGTCACACTATGCTATCTCTAATTGCTGCCTTTACTTTACACGACACGTGCCTCCGTACGGTATAGTTTCACTGCTATATATTTTTTAACTCGTTCTTCAAATAAAAACACAGCTTACAGAATAAGCTGTTTGAAAGCTGACATAATGTACTCAGACGACTTTATCTCTATCTAGACCTAGACTTACGTGGTAACCTCTCGACACGCTGGTAGGAAAGAACTGGCAAATCATCAGCGAGCGTCCCAGAGTCGCTCCAGCAGCCCAGCTCGGTGTTGGAGAAGGACGCCAGCTCCTTGCTGTCGCGGTGCTTCTTGCGGCGGAAGAACGAGCGCCGGGCCGTCGTCAGCGCACGACGACCTTCCGGCTCCAAAGGACCCATTGACCGTCGCAGAATCTCTTCCACTCTGCAGAAAATAAACAGACATTACCTTAAACACATAGACATCCTAATTCCTAAAAATTAAGACGGCCTACAAACCCATTTCAATGTGTTTAGTCACCTTCTTTTAAACATTTGAACACTCGATTAGCTATCAATGACTCTAAATTAAAGTTTTTTTTCCATAGTATCCGCCATTTTGCAATGATAATTATTTATACTAAAAAAGCGCTAAAGCAAGCACAATTGAAGAACTCGGGAATGCGGGATTGGCAGCGCGTGCGGTCTTTCTTGTCCTCTTTATCCACATTTACATTCTCATCTCTTTCTTGCGTGAAAGATGATTGCGCGTAAAGAGCGTACGTGTAAAGGCAGCTAATCAAGCGAAACTTTCAAGTATAAGCAAAATAATACTGTTGTGTTTAATATACATTTTTTATATTGTTCATCACGAGCTCACAGTCAGCCAGGTCGTGACGACAGGTAGTACAACTTATTCGGAAAGTCGGGAGATGTAAATATCTTTATTTACTATAAAATGATTCGTAGTAAGACCCGATTGATATAAGTAATAAAATAAGACTGACTTGAATTTACTGGGTATGGTCCCCCACTGCCGCTTGACGCCCTTGCAGTCGAGCTGCCAGGCGCGCCAGAGTCCGGGCGCCCCGTTGTAGAGCGTGTTGTCCACGAACAGCACCTCGTCCTTGCGGAACCACAGCGAGCACTCGTCCAGCGAGTCCATGCCGTTGGACGTGAACTTCGTGCAGCGGTCGAACCCCGCGCGGATGTAGAACGCGTCCCCGGGCTTGTCTTTTATGTCGTGGTATTGCTGGAGGTCGTGGCGAACCAGCACGCTCACCTGGATGGAATGATAAAATAATATATTTTTTCCAAATTTGGTACACTTTCAACGATCGACGAATCTATGAAGTCTGAATGTTCGATTATATAAATAAAAAAAAATCAGGTCATCAGGTACTCAACAGTTCATAATTTCGAATTAAATCCAATCATAAAATGTATATTCTTATCGTATATTTTTCCCCTACCGCTATGCTCTTTGTTAAAATTTAAAAATCTATACTTTTAATGACATGGGAAGTTTACCTTATCAGCTGGCTTCGCTAACTCCAGGGCGGCTTGTTCCGCCGTAGCATGCCTGAGATCCACATTATTATATTCCAAGATCTGATCACCGGTTCGTAACCCAGCGATATACGCCGGAGAGTCTATGCGTACACTATGCACAAATATACCCACTGCATTGCCACCCACCAAACTGATGCCCAAATCAGAACAGTTCCGCATTTCTATGAGAAGAAACCTCGGCAGATCTTTGTTCCCGGACTGCCTCAGTGTAGCGACCTCACTTGAAGGCGTCTCCATTCGAATAGACTGTTGCGGCCCTGGAGAATTTCTCGGCGTCGGAGACCCCGATAATGAAACGTCATCGTCGTGGGAACTTTCTGGCGAAGACGAACTCCCGACCACCTCAACCTCATCCTTATATTTATCTGGACTGTATTGAACCAACATAGTTATAGAATTACCGATTTGCCGCAATACCCTCGCTGCGAGATTGTAAGTCGCCGATCGCATGTTGATACCACAAACTTCTAATAACTGATCCCCGACTTGTAACCCTACTTGACTAGCTAGTGAATTATCGTACACGGTCGATACAAATACGCCCCCACTGCTTTGAGGGCATTGTATCTTGATACCGAGGGGTTGCTGACTCTTATCTATGTGTACCCTCCTCAGTTCTCCAGGCAGAGGCTTGCCTAAACCCATCCCGCAATATTCAGGCATTGAGTTCCTTGTGCCTTTATGTGCTGATTGCTTCGCACCTTGTCCAGGACTAAGAACTTCTACATGAAATGTCGGCATTGGTGAATTTCGTTCTGAACTTCTCTCGATAGATCCCGTACTTAACTTCCCGGCAGAATTCTTAGACGTGACACTGGGGTTAGAGGGGACACGAAATCTTTGGTTTTCTTTCTTCCTTGGAAACGTACCACCTTCGTATGTATGGTGATAGTCACCGCCGCGAGCCGCTCCAGTCACAGGCTGAAGATCAGACATATTATGCGTATGGGACGTGAATGAATGCATGTCATAACATGTTCCTATGCTCTCACCTGACTGGCTCTGTGGGATATTCGTTGGACTCGCCAAGTACGGATAACGACTAGAATTGTGAGGATGCGAATTAACGAACGGACCTCTGTAGTATTGAGATTGAAGACGCGACTGTGATGGCAATGTCCCAGTCATTGGGTAATTTGGGTTACTGTTTAAACTGTCTGGCCCAAAACTATCGCTGTCTGAAGGGTATTTGTTTACAGTTTTCGGTGAAGACGATTTCTTTGAGGAATAATACTGGTCCAGTGCATCTTTACCAGGATGATTTTTAATAGAGTGGTCTAGGGAACTGGGAGATTTTCTCGTAACGAATTCTAAAGAACTGGGTCCTTTGTTTACGGTGAAATCTAAAGAGTGGGGACTTTTCGTCCGACTGCGGGTAACTGGTTGGTAGTCCAACGAGTCATCTGACGGATTTAACACTAAACTTAGGCGGTTCGGATTAATATCGTGATCTGAGTAATCACTGATGGATATTTTGTCCTTTTCCAACGTTCGAGATTTTTCGAAATTCATACTGTTGGGAGAAGCGAAAGGGTTATGGATAGTTAAAGGGGCAGGTTTGGGAAAATGTTCGACTACTGTAGAAGATTCAATAGATTTGTACATTGAATGTCGCGCCGGTGCTGACACTTGAGTTAAAGGTGCGTGACCAAGCGGTATGGGATTCGAATTTCTGTTAGTATTCGACCGCTGTGGTTCGGGCGGCAATTTTGTTGGCGGACTGAGTAAGACTGATAACGGCGGCCGTTCTTTTCTAGATCTCGGCTGAACTATAGTTCCGGTGGAGTTATCTTCTAGATTAAAATTTGCCCTCGCTTTAGGCCAGGTGCCTCCATTTTTTGCCTCGCTTTGAGACTCTTTGTTTTTTCTACGCGAACGTTTTAGCACACTGCTAGTTTCTTTGACTGAAAACGTAAAGATAAAACAGAAATAAATAGAAAATATTAAAACAATACCGCGATCAGGTCAGGACAATGCGCATTATTAAGGATAATTCCAAAACTACACGTCAGAATTCGACCAAATTTATACGAGAAACAGCAGTTCTTTTATTTTAATAATTCTTTTTTATTTGAAATAAAAAAGATTTATTGAACTTCACGTGAAATTTTTTGAAGTTGATTGACAATTAAAAAAAAACGACATAAATAAAGGTAAAATGAATGAAATAACCAATTGAAATGACTAGAGAGATTCGTAAGAGCTTTTAATTTTTTACCCTAAAATTTTAACTCTACAATAAAGTTAAACAAACAAAGATTGCATGAGAAGATCAATGTAAACAACTTACTCGTTTTCCCGTGATAACTGTCGATAATGGAGTCCAGCTCCGCGATAGCGTCGCTCTCGTGTACCTGTAATTCAAAATTATATGTTATATATATAATTTATATTACTAGCTACATAAGTATAGATTCAACAAATATGTATATTTATGTTTATTACATACGGCACCTACCCTTTTCTTGTCTTTATTTTGATAGTATATGCTTTTATTTGCATTACACAGTAATTTTTAAACATCATTTTTAGACACTCTCCTTGATGTGAAGCCAAATCTCGAGGTCCTTGGCGTTGATATATCCAGTGACGTTCAGTTTTGCGGTCATTTGGAGGACAAGGCTAAAATAGCCTCAAAGAAGCTTGGTGTGCTCAGTAGAGTGAGACGGTATTTCACGGCGGCCCATCGCTTGCAATTATACAAGGCGCAGATCCGGCCGCATATGGAATACTGTTCTCATCTCTGAGCCGGAGCACCACAATACCAGCTACTTCCATTTGACCGCATTCAGAACCGAGCAGCCAGAATCATTGGTAATCAACGTCTATGTGACAGACTCGACCCATTGGCTTTGCAGCGAGATATTGCATCTCTGTGCATTTTCTACCGCATATATCACGGGGAGTGTTCTGAGGAATTGTTCGGATTAATACCAGCTGCTGAGTTTCACCACCGTACCACCCGCCAGAAACTGAAATACCATCCTGATCATCTGGATGAATGGCGGTCTTCCACAGTACGGTTTTCTAGAAACTTTTTGCCTCGCACAACCACATTGTGGAATCACCTTCCAGCAATGGTATTTCCGAACCGATACGATATTGAAACCTTCAAGAAAAGAGCTTATTCCTTTTTAAAAGGCTGACAACGTACTTGCAATTCCCCTGGTGTTGCGGGTGCTCATGGGCGGCGGTAATCACTTACCATCAGATGAGCCGCATGCTCGTTTGTCCCCAGTGTTATAAAAAAAAAATCTTTTTCTTTTACTTAGAGGATAATCATGTAACGAATTCTACCCCTAGATATGAATTTGCCATGTCCTAACGCCCTGACGTAATGCTCATCTAATCATCCTCCACTGGTGACCCGCCAGCTTAAATCGTTAGCGCCGTTAGCACCATTCTATTTACAACCATTTAAAAAAAAATGACTCAGCAAAACAGATGGAGACATAAAGGAATACTGTAGAATAATAATATAACGAAATCTACTCCAAGGTATGAGTTTGCCATGTCCTAACTGTCCTGACGGTGGAAGGGGATTGTTAGTAATGTGAACTCGTGACCCCATTACTTGCAATGTACCATATCAGGTTGACCTCCACGCGGTTTACCCTGGAAACCATCGTGATAATTTTTTTGTGAATTTGTCACGATAGCCTAACTGACCTGATCTCATGTTCATCTTATCCTCCACTGGTGCACCGTTGGCGTAAACCGTTAGCGCAGGTGGGTGCACTATTACATTATCATCCATAAAAAACTGTCCTGACGTCATACTCATCTAATCATCCTCCACTGTTATCAGGGACGGATCTACCTAAGAGCTTTTTGGGCTGCAGCCCAGGGCCCCGAGGATACAAATAGTCCCCAGATCCCACGGAAACAGTATTTAGAATATAAAAAAAAACTAGAATTATAAAAACCTATCATAAGGTTGGCAACCCTGAGTTCAATCAACCCATGCAAGTCTATCAAAAGGAACGGGGAATTTCTGGTCTGTGTATTTTTTTAGTTAAGTAATATAATTAGGTAGGCCCTTAAGTAGATTTAGCCCAGGGCTCTACAAATTCACGATTCCCCCCTGACTCTTGTCCCGCCAGCGTAAACCGTCAGCGCAGGGGTGTGTACCATTATATATACATCCATTTAAAAAAAAATAACCCAACATATACTAACCTTATTCTGTTTATCCTTCGACTTGCTCCTGCCGGTGACAGCTTCAATTTTCCCTCTAATCATGTCCCATTTCCCTGCAAATATGACCGGCGTGATCACATCTGTACTAACGATAATCTTATCCATGTTTGTCAATTGATAAGGTATCGATAGAGTATGGGAGAACGTGGAATGTGTTTATCTTGTGTTGATTTATCTCGTCAACTACACACAATGCGTGACTGTTTGTTTACATGGATTTCAGTTATCAAATTTGTCAATAAAGAGTTTTTTGTTATTCTTACGACATACCGATTCGTTTTGAAGTGATAGCATAGAGTACGAATTTGCGGTGACAAGTAGTATATAAATATAATAGGCTTGTTCGTCTGTTTGTTTGTTTAAATAAATTATAAAACAAAATATGTTAGAAATTGTATTTAACATTGTTCACTTCAGTAAATCCTCGTAAGATAAATATATATATGATTTAAAAAATATATTTTTGATGATTAATAACTTAGCGTTAATGGATATGAAAAATAGTTTACATGCTATTTTCAGACCTACTTGGCTTTAACATCTTGTAAGAGATTTTTTTTTTTATCTCAGGACAATTCACACAGCGCCATCTAGACCCAAGTTAAGCTACCTAAAGCTTGTGTTATGGGTACTAGATAACTGATACAAGTACATAGATATTTTTTTTTCGTAAATACATACATATTATACATGGAAAACACCCAGACCGATACAAACAATCATACTCATGAATACAAATGTTTGTGCCGTACGAGGAATCGAACCCGCGACCATCGGACGTAAAGCGGTGTGCTAGACCGCTATACCACCGAAAACCTACTGAAGACCTACTGAATATATACACCAAATTTCATAATACGAGTTTTGTTACAAACACTCACAGTGTGTATGACAAAACTGCCATGCCCGCGCTTTCATCAGCGTTAAATTTCAATATATATACACATAGGCTATAATATATATTGTATTATAGCCTATGTGTTATTCTGATACAGAAGCTATATTACTGTAAAGTTTTATCAAAATCCGTTCAGTACTTTTTACGAGAAACTGTAACATACATCCAACTTATAAACTTTCGCGTTTATAATATTAGAATTTATGTTAATTATAAAACTAATCAACTCACCTCTCTCCTGGTGTATCTTTCCCTGGCTGCCTGCTGCCACATGGTATACGTAGCGTCGATCAAAATCTGGCACACCGTGCTCTATATGTACCTGTTAATCATTACATAGTATAAACTAAAGTCGGTGTCGCTGTCTGTCGCTATGTATGCTTAAATCTTTAAAACTACGCAACGGATTTTGATGCTGTCTTTTTGAAGAGAGAGAGTGATTCAAGAGGAAGGTTTATATATATAATACATGTATACCCGTGCGAAGCCGGGGCGCGTAGCTAGTAATGTATAAATGTTACGTCAACCGATCTACTATTGGTATAGTGTCGCATTACAAGAGCGCGAAAAGACATTTCAAATAAAGTCTATATTCTCACCTTAGTGTCCTGGGGCGGTTGTACGAAATCACAGTACGTGTCTTCATTTTGGGGGCACATGTTCAGCATTTTCCCGTCTGAATACGAGTGATCGTACACAGATAACCTACAAAGTAAGGATATGTTAGCAAGAATATATTATAAACTAGCTGTACTCGCGACTTCATTCGCGTGGAATTTAACTTTATTTTTCTAAAATAAAAGTAGCTTAAGTTACTCCTTATTACATCAGCTACCTGCCAAAAAAAGTCCCGTCGAAATCAGTCCAGCCATTTCAGAGATTAGCCGGAAAAAACAGACAGACAGAAAATTGTTATTTTGGTGTATGTACCGTATTTATATTCATATGCATGTAGTAAAAAACGGTTATTTCAATATTACAAACAGACACTCCAATTTTATTTATATGTATAGATTGACCGGGCATAAAACCAAGAGCATCGTAACGAATTTCAAAGCAGAACAAAAATACAATTCAATCAAAATATCTTTATTCATGTACGTCTATTAAAGATTCTTATGATATGTCAAATCTACCGTTAGTTAGGGTGCTTTTGAGCTAACAGAGCTTACTAACGACCTTGGCCGAGACCAATTAACAAGAAACTTAGCTCTTAGTAAACATTTTTTCACCTAGTGGTCGACTTGCCGTCGCTTGCTAGTATCATTCCTAACACTTCCTAACTGAATTTGGGGCACCCATTCAATGAATTTGCCATGGACAGTGGTGGACTAAGGCTAAAGTGGACACTAGGCAAAATTGTTTGTTTGTTTGTAATACTTTATTGTACAATAATATTATAAATAAAACACACAATTGACTTAGAAAAAAAAACATGCGTACAATGGCGGACTTATCCCAGAAGAGGGATTTCTTCCAGTAACCTTTGAGTTACTGAGAGGAATTGCGGAGTGGTGTAAATAGGTACAATAAATAATACGCGTCACAATGACATATATAGACAATAATATATACAGAAAGTACACAAAAATTGTAATTCCGAGCCGGGCAATATCAATCAACAATTCCGCATAATTAGAATATTTCAGCAGTAATCATCAATATCACATTTTTCGTTAAATAAACCCAACAATACGGGTTCTAGGCACGTGTCTAGGTTCCAACGGGTTAGTCCGCCCCTGGTAATGGACCAGAGATAATATAGATCCACAACCGTTTGTTACAAGACAAGCATAGTGTCACCTGTCCCTGTTGTCGCAGCACGGGTAGAGCGGCCGCAGCACGGTGAGCACCACGTCGTACTGGCACTCGTTGAGCATGGCCATCGCTTCCGAGACGCTCTTCACTCCCTCCAGCGACCTATAATTTATCTGTCAAAGAAATAAATAAATTTAATACAGTAGTATAAGCATGCAAGCAGTAATTCGACTCCGCCCAATCCGATCCGAATCCGCTTATTTATTTATTTATTTATTTATTTATTAAAGGAAAACCAAGGCTATTCAAGTACATCTTAAATAAAATCAATATATATGTCACAGTAAGCCACTGACAGGCTTTCACTAATAACAATAGACTAATTCTTAAAAAATTTACATCACTACGTATAAAGGCATTATAAAGTTAACAGAGAATATGAAATTAATTAACAGGAGTACAGTAACAAATAGTAAATTTATAGAAATATATACATATACATGATTTTCAATAATAATTAATTGTTATTTAAAGAAGGGCTCACTTAGTTGGTGTCTCGTTGATTTAATATTATTACAAAATATATCTATATTAACTGTTTTAGATAGTTTATTAAAATTGTTGCTAGCTCGCCAGAGAAATGAATTCTGCTTATAGTTCGATGACACTAGGGGAACAGATAGAAGAGGATTGTGCCTTGTTGATACTCGTGGTACATTAATGGATAATTTACCCAGGAGATTTGGGCAGTCGACAGCACCAGAGGCTATTCTCATGAGATATGTAATATCCGCGATTTCCCTACGCTTCTCAAGAGGCAGAAGGTGGTGTTTTTTACAAAACTCAAGATACCTAGATGAATCATACGGATCTCGTAATCTGTAGGCTAAAAAACGAATAAATTTCTTTTGAATATTTTCGAGACGTAGTATGTAGGTTTTGTACCTAGGATTCCAAATCTGCGAAGCGTATTCCAATTTACTTCTAACCAACGTGCAGTATAATATTTTTAAGGTTTTGGCTTGCTGAAAAAGTATAAGTCAGTATAGTCGATTATGCACCGAGAGGACATCGTTAAGCGATAACACCATTCTAGGCACATACTTATTGATACCAACGACCCTATAACAGCAGCTAAACTCCTTGCCTACCTAGCAATTTAGCAGATCGCTTTATTTCTGATGGTTGCGGGTTCGATGTCTCGCACGGGACAAACATTTGCATTCGTAAGTAATGATTGTTTGTATTAATCTGTGTATTTTCTATGTATAGTACCCATAACACAAGCTCTGCTTAGTTTGGGACTATAGATAGAGCTGTGTGAATTATCCTGACATATTATTATTGCCGTTCCTATAGACTTCTTAGCGTATACGTCTGTAATGTAGGGTATGTTTTATAAAGTTGTGAGGGTGAATCGTTTCGCATATGAACGAGCGCACACCTTCTCTGTGAATAACCCCAATGTAAAGTCGTGTTCTTACTTATTATATTCTATAATACTTAGACTTATCAACTTCCATACCATGCAAAGTCAATATCATATCTCAGGGGGATTGTTAGTAATGCGGATTGATAACCCCATTGCTAGCAATGTACCTTGTCAGGTCGACCTCCACGCGGTTACCCCTGGAAACCATCGTGTTAAATTCCTGGTGAATTTGTCACGATGGGCTAATTGACCTGACCTCATGCTCATCTTATCATCCTCCACTGGTGCTCCGCCAGCGTAAACCGTTAGCCCAGGCGGGTGTACCTTTCCTTTATCATCCACAAAAAAAAACATGACCTATTCTTTACATAGTACCAGCTTGCAAAGCAAGCTGCTAACGGGAGAATTAAATTAGATACAGTCATTCTTTTGGTATAACTACTTACGCTAACAACTCGATCGCCAACGAAAACATTGCCCTCCTTTGCTGCAGCACTGTCGCTTGTTATTTTGCTGACAAAGATACCTGTAAAGATAAAAAAAGATTAAATATACATTAAGGAATAAGGAACTTCTTCCTTTTTGTAATTGCAATGACGATTGACAGATCTCACGTAGCGGGATACAGCATCCGCGGGTCGCGTGTTGACTCGATCATTAGGGAGCGGCGCGGTGTAAACGTTTTAGTGACACTCCCAAATAAGAAATACAACGCAATAGATTTGTTATTATAACGAAAGTTAATTGATTCACCTAGTAAACGGTAACCCTCACCTATTAGTCCGAGCCGATGCTTTATTATCAATTATTTCGGCATAGTCCGAAATTTCGAAAATGTTTAAGATAGGTTTGTTATAAAGCCTAGTGAAAATCAGCTGCAGATTCGAGGCGATAGTGCGTTCTACATCATGTACAGCGTCATCTAGTGCGCCCTGAATAAACTAAGTTATCTATTAATATAAATAAGCTCGGCGATAAGACTGCCTTTTGAATCTCTTAATTTATTATATAGTTTATATATATATGTATTTGTGGCGCGGTGGTTATCACCTCACCACTGTAGCATCATATATGTTTTGATGAGGTGTCGCTACACAACTTATTGTTTACTGTAGAATCTAGGTAGTGAGTGTACCGGTGAAATGATTGCATGAATTATTGTACATTAGTAAGTTTATAGTATGTGCTATACAGCTTATTAGTAACGCGTACATTCGACGCGGAATCGCGAGGTAGATTGACTTTACACTTAATTTGTAGGTGTTTTTGTTATGTTCGTGATTCGTCATTTTTTATTTTTAATATATAAGTTTAACTGTTGTTTGGTAGCAATTTTAACCGGTAGGAAATAGCATATTTTTTATATTTTTCGAGAGTGCTGCTAATCAACCCACGCTAGGAATTGCAGTTAACTTTCACTAGGCTTCATAATAGATAGAGACGGTCTGCTGCTCAGGCACCAGGTCGCAGGAACCAGCAGGAGATGGACACGAGCTCACCTCAAAGTACTTAAGAAGGTAGGGGTTGCGAAGGTCACCTCCAGACGGATGCCGACACCGACCGGGGGTACACCCACCGTACTAGGCCTGAAGAAGTCGCGCATGTCTCCACGTGCCTTACCTAGGTAAGAGATGGAGCCCGCTGACAGAGTAGGTCACCGCTGTTCAAACATCGATCTCGTGACTCTTATGTGGCGTTAGATGAAGGACACCTTGAAGTTTTTGCGAGAGTAGGAGTCTCACAGTATCCGCTACCTCCCTTGGGATGAGCGGGTTTCCATGAGTTACAGGAGCAGGGTGCACATAGTGCACAGCGCATAATGCAGTGCACACGATACATATTGCATAATGCAGTGCACACAATATATATTGCATAATGCAGTGCACACAATACATATTGCATAATGCAGTGCACACAATACATATTGCATAATGCAGTGCACACAATATATATCGCGTAATGCAGTGCACACAATACATATTGCATAATGCAGTGCACACAATATATATCGCGTAATGCAGTGCACACAATACATATTGCATAATGCAGTGCACACAGTGCACAGCCCATAATGCAATGCACAGGCGGACCCGCGCCCGAGTGCGGCCCGCAGCGTACGTACCGCGGGTCAGCAGCACGCCGCGCACGTCGCGCAGCCGCAGCGTGCGGCGCGCGGCGCGGGCCCGCTGCAGCCGCAGGGCGGCGGGCCCGCGCCCGAGTGCGGCCCGCAGCGTACGTACCGCGGGTCAGCAGCACGCCGCGCACGTCGCGCAGCCGCAGCGTGCGGCGCGCGGCGCGGGCCCGCTGCAGCCGCAGGGCGGCGGGCCCGCGCCCGAGTGCGGCCCGCAGCGTACGTACCGCGGGTCAGCAGCACGCCGCGCACGTCGCGCAGCCGCAGCGTGCGGCGCGCGGCGCTGGCGCCAGAAGCTTCAGCAGCGCCCGGCGGTCCCGCGCCCGAGTGCGGCCCGCAGCGTACGTACCGCGGGTCAGCAGCACGCCGCGCACGTCGCGCAGCCGCAGCGTGCGGCGCGCGGCGCGGGCCCGCTGCAGCCGCAGGGCGGCGGGCCCGCGCCCGAGTGCGGCCCGGCAGCGTACGTACCGCGGGTCAGCAGCACGCCGCGCACGTCGCGCAGCCGCAGCGTGCGGCGCGCGGCGCGGGCCCGCTGCAGCCGCAGGGCGGCGGGCCCGCGCCCGAGTGCGGCCCGCAGCGTACGTACCGCGGGTCAGCAGCACGCCGCGCACGTCGCGCAGCCGCAGCGTGCGGCGCGCGGCGCGGGCCCGCTGCAGCCGCAGGGCGGCGGGCCCGCGCCCGAGTGCGGCCCGCAGCGTACGTACCGCGGGTCAGCAGCACGCCGCGCACGTCGCGCAGCCGCAGCGTGCGGCGCGCGGCGCGGGCCCGCTGCAGCCGCAGGGCGGCGGGCCCGCGCCCGAGTGCGGCCCGCAGCGCGGCGGCGGCGGCGGCCCCGCGCGCCCACCGCGACGCTCCGCACACCTGCGCCACGCGGTCCAGCGGCCTGCGCACGCACGCACGCACACACACATTATTTTCTGTCTCATTCTTACACCGGCCCCACGAACTAAACTCCACCGACTAAACAGATTAATACCATGTTCACACGTTCGTTTCGTTCACTCGTTCAGTATGAAACCGAATCACAATCACAAATATGCACATTTCAACGCTAATGTGACAAACTGATAATAAACATGGGACATGTACCATAACAATTTGTTCTGGAATATAACAGTTTATATAGCCATAAATCTAATGTTCAGATCCGGCTCGAAGGACCATAAAAATATATGAGTCTGCTATACTACATACATTCCGAATGATATAATGTTATAAAAATAATAAGTTACAGATTGCTTGCTAACTTGATTAATTAAGTACACAATGCCTGTATTTGGACTGACTGCTTTCTTAAGTGGCCTAAAAGAAAAGTATAAAATGCTGACGACTGTACAGTGACTTACCGTAAAGATACAATATTTTACAATCTATTTACTTTCATTATTTACTGTGTTTGCCTGTAATTTAATCATTCGTTCATTTAAAATTATTTAAAGAATCAAATATACTAACAGTAGCATCTGTGCATTTACAAAAACATCATATATACAGGAAAATATCAACATGTTACGCACTAATAAAATTCGCGAAAATTTAAAGAGTAATAAGGATCAAGTGAGAGAAAGGGATACTCACATAATTTTCCCTTCGACAGGCGATCCCTTCTTCACAGAAGTGACGTATACACTGCTGTCATTGGGATAGAACGGTTCGTCTCGACCTCCAGATAACTCGAACCCGAGATCTCCGTCCTTTCCCAGGCAATTCAACTCCACATCGATTATGTCCCATTCGAACTCCTGTAAAAGAAAGACACCTTAAATCTCTTCTTTTATTAAAAAAAAAAACAATTAATAGGTGGACCAAATTTGTCACATGTTGGACACCAAATAATGGGCACTGATATTGTGGTAGACTAAAACAAAGGTGAGTCAACGATTAAAGATAAAGCCAAGCTCAGGATTCAAATGTTTGGAGGCGTGAGTTAAGGCTTCTACTCAGCAGTGGGACAATGTAGGCTTAAAAAGTTTCAAAATTAAAAACAGTACCTATGCAATACTATTATTGCGCGTCCCTGGCGGGTGACAGTGAGCACGTTACCTGGTGAGCGAGCTCTGCGTGGTGCGCGTCCCTGGCGGGTGACAGTGAGCACGTTACCTGGTGAGCGAGCTCTGCGTGGTGCGCGTCCCTGGCGGGTGACAGTGAGCACGTTACCTGGTGAGCGAGCTCTGCGTGGTGCGCGTCCCTGGCGGGTGACAGTGAGCACGTTACCTGGTGAGCGAGCTCTGCGTGGTGCGCGTCCCTGGCGGGCTGTAGGGCGGCATCAGGCGGTCGACTGCTGCCTCCGTGCCGCCTGCTCTCCGCCAGTTCGCCCACCATCTGGTCGCGCTCCTGTACACAAGGGAGGAAGTTATTTTAATACACCATATAAACTCATTTTTCTGTGTCTATCTTGCAATCAGTCAAAGATGTGGTTACAGTACAGTGTTGAGATTCTCAGTAGATTCATCGTCTCTTCAGACGATCTTGATAAGTCATCGGTGTCCAGTAACCTACACTTTCAAGGCAACTTATATTGTCAGGGACTATCAGTTGGTTGACCAGCACATTCGCTCATATTGCATCAGCACATGTGTTTAAATAATTGAATTTGTAAACATAAATATTTGCAATTGTCTAGTATCCATAATACAAGCACTTTTTAGCTCGAGACAGAAGGAACTGTGGAAAATGTTCAGGGTATGTATCATCAATTATTTCTATGGAGTCTGTCAAAAAAACGTAAACGTAATGAAATTATGGTTATTACTAAAGGAAATTAAAATAAATACATACCTTTCTTAACCTATTACATAATGCTTTTACGCTTTCTCTCTCTTGCAACAATTTATCTCTCTCTGAGAAAGCCCAATCCCGTCTTCGTTTCGATACCTGAAACACGATAAATTCTAATATATCTACAACTATTCTGTTATAAGAGAAACAATATTTTCCTCAACTGTATTATAAACTATTACACACATGTTATTATTTTTCAAAACACATGATACACACATCTAGAAACTTCTTGAACAATCTCATAATTACCTCTGCTTCTAACTGTGCATCCGCCAATTCAGCCTGAAGCCGATCGACTTGTTTCCTTAGCCGCTCTAATTCTGGATTGTTCTGTTCGAGGGATTCTGCGCGCTCTTTGTCCGCTGCTTCAGCCGACATGCCCACCAGACCTGTTAGTACATAACAACAATACAGTAAACACCAGTAATTACCCAAGTGAATAACTACAATACAGTGTTGAGAATTGAAAAAAAAACCAGACTATAATCACATTATTTAGAATAACTCAAAAACTATTGCCTAATTATTGATGTTAATTTATATGGGACCACACAAGAAGCATGATAATTTATATAAAAAAAGAATTATCAAAATCGGATCACATAGAAAATAGAAGGGGTATCACACATAAAAATAAAGTTTATTTGAGAGTTTTTTTTGAAAGGGGTTATTACTTCTGTATAATTTGGCAAGATAAAATATTTGCAAGTAAAATTTGTAGGGGTAGAATGCACAGCGGCAGTAAGTATAGTGAAATAAGAAAGTAAAATATATATATTTGGTAAAAGTAACAAGGCTCACATACGATATGTCAATAGAAAATCTTACGAACAATTGAAGACATTTTCTTTATATAAAATTCAAATTGTCTTCTACAGAATAACGGCCAGATATAAATTTAAGTTCCAACAAAATTAGCTACTGTATGCTAAAAAGCAGGATAGCTTTATGCACACAGGGCTGTCTTATCATATAATAAATATATGCTAAATTTATTACAAGCACACAAATCTATCAAATCATAGTATTAATATACACATAAAAAAAACTTATATGCTCCTCCATTATACAATAGCTTGTACAGTGGTAAAACATGATGATAGGCTGTGGTATTTCTCGTTTGCTGCTACTACTGAAGGCCAAGGTGTTATGGCTCTATACCACATATTTCACTGCATGTTCTCTACAATTAGTTTTAAAGTCTTCACACTGTCATAGCTGGATGGTCTACTGTACAGTACTGACCTTGGAATTTATCCAATGAAGGGTCATTGGAGTGTTGTCCATTGAGAAACCCGTCGTTACCCACACCACTTGAGAGCCCCAAGTGGTGATACGCAGAGTTGTCTTGCCTGTGTGTGAAATACACTCGTTAGTTATCTTTACCTTTACTAATATTATACTGAGATGGGTCCCCGGGCATTCAAATATTGAAGGCAATGAGAATGCCGACCATCTGGCAAAGTTAGGGGCAAAAACCGTCCAACTGGGCCCCGAACCCTTCTGTGGTGTGCCTCGTTGCCTAAAACTGGGACATCTCAAATTAATAACCAAACGAGAAGCACTGAATCACTGGCAAGAAATGCCAGGATTAATACATTCAAAAGACCTAATATCCGGCTTCTCGACCAAATACTCCAATAGACTACTGCTATTGAGTAAAAACAACATATGCATGATGACTAGGGCCCTCACAGGACACTGCAAATTAAACAAGCATATGGCTAAACTAGGCCTATGCACGACAAGTATCTGCAGATTCTGCCAAACTGAAGAGGAAACGCCGCTTCACATCCTATGTGGTTGTAGCCCACTCATGCATAAACGAAATATCTCCTTTGGAAAGTTTACACTCTTTCCCGAGGAGATAAAAACGATCGCTCCTAAAAATATCCTTCAATTCTTGTCCCTGACGGGTCTAGGTAGCGAACTCTGAAAAGGGCGAGCACAATAGATATATGTAGGCCGCAGTGCTACAGGTGCTACACAGCTGACAATAGCCCAAACAATCCAATAAAAAAAAAAAAATATCTTTACCTTACCACTCTTTCACGGATTATGTACGCACTGCGCATGTTAAAGTTCGCGAATTGCGGAAAAAAATGCGTACATTCACGATTGCGCGCGACTGGCTTATTCGCCCTCTTAATCGCGGACTCAAAATTAAATATGTCAAAGTTTAGTTACGTAATAAATTTCTGAACGCACCCTGTTCGACAGTTTGGGAAAATAAAATTGTTGTTTTTAATATTTTACAATTTCCTCATATTTTATCACCATTAATCCCTGGACTTCCACTAATGTTTCAAGACTAAAATTAGCCAAATCGGTTCAGCCGTTCTCGAGTTTTAGCGAGACTAACGAACAGCAATTCATTTTTACCTAGATATCCAGCGAAAACCATGCAACCAAGTATTGCATACACCACAGATATTTGCCTTTGACAATACCACAAATATACTATTATGTATTACAGCATAAGTTTCTGATTAATGACCTAAGAAAAATTCCCACTAGTGGTAAATTTTAGATATTTGCCTTTGACAATACCACAACTATACTCTCGTGTATAGTTGTGGTATTGTCAAAGATTACCGTGAGTAAGTCATTAGATTACCGTGATTTCCCAAGTGTGGCTGTGTTCTGTGGGGTCTTGAGATCGGTGCACTCCTTGATGGCGCGGTCGCGGTCCACCAGAGCAGACTCCAGCTCACGACGAAGGCTCTCCTCCTGGAATACAGACTTATCAATTTGTATATAATGTAAAGTATTCGCGCGAAAGTGTGAACACGGAATATAGTAAATTGCGATGACTCATGATTAGATTAGATTAGTGTTAGCTTCCTTGCGCTAAAAGGCTCGTGAAAGCATATGTCGTGTGAAGACAGTGTCTTGTATAACATAATGGAGTTTCTAATGAAACCTAGATTTATATATTTAAGTATATTAATTTCGATAACGTTTTACAAATTAGGTAAGTACAAAAGAAGTGAATTCAATAATTGACGAATGTCTATATAAGAAAAAAAATAAAAATTATGCAGGTATACAAAAAACAAGTGCGCGACTATATAATGCATCTTCTTGGTGCTATTAAAATATATCAGGCGCTTTAGGCCTGAACATCTTCCCGCCCGTTGAAAGGAATTTCAACGTTGAAGTTCTTCAATAGTTGGCAACGGACAGATACGGACCAAGGGTCTGCGTACACATCCCTTTATGGTATTGATGTCAGCAACTCTGGAAATGCCATCTGGTCCAGGATACAAACGAGCTACTCGACCTAGACGCCAGTTTAAAGGAGGCACGTTGTCTTCCTGTAGGAGAACCATATCACCAATATTCAATTGAGCTGTGTTAGATCGCCATTTAGTCCTTTGCTGTAGTTCTGATATATATTCTCTTTGCCAGCGATTCCAGAAATGTTGACGAATTTTCTCAAGGCGGGCATAGCGTTTCAGTTGATTTTCGTTACAATTTAGTAATGATGGTGAAGGCAGCGCAGTCAAGGGTCTGCCAATTAGGAAGTGACCAGGAGACAATGGAAGTAGATCATTAGGGGAGGACGACAAAGGGCATAAAGGACGACTATTAAGTACAGCCTCCACTTGCGAAAATAATGTAGAAATTTCCTCGAATGTCAAATGACTATTCCCTATGACTCTTTTTAAATACCCCTTTGCGCTCTTTACGCCTGCCTCCCAAATACCCCCAAAGTGAGGAGCGTAAGTAGGAGTAAATATGAACTTAAAGCCTTCATGATTTGCAAAGTCAGATACGCTGTCAATGTTTGATTTTAGAAATTCTCCTAATTCTTTTGCTGCGGCTACAAAATTACGACCATTGTCGCAAAATATCTCTAACGGTTTACCGCGGCGCGCGACAAATCGTTTGAGAGTCATAATAAAAGACTCCTTTGACAAATCGTTTACCGCTTCTAAATGAATACATTTGTATCGCAAGCATACAAACAGACACAAGTATGCTTTAATCAATCTACTGCCACGTCCCTTTCTATTTAGTATATGAAAAGGACCAGCGAAGTCCAAGCCAATTGATAAAAATGGGAAGTCGGGAGTTATACGTTGGGAAGGTAAATTACCCATTTTAGGGCAAAGTATTTTGCCACGAAGACGCCTACAGCGTACACAGTTGTTAACAACACGCCTAGCTAGGTGCCTTCCATTGACAGGCCACACAATTTCTCTCACTACGGCTAATAATAACTGTGGGCCTGCATGCATATGACTTATGTGTTCTCTTTCGAAAATGAGCTTGGTTAAATGGTGAGATGCATGTAAAAGTATAGGATGCTTCTGTTCATATGTACAATTAGACGCATGTATTCGTCCTCCAACCCTGATTAATTTGTGATCATCTAGAAAAGGAGACAACTGCAATATTTTCGACTTAGAACTTAACATCTTATTATTTGATAGTATATTTAATTCTATTGGATATATTTCTTGTTGAGCAATGCCACAGAGTATTATAAAAGCTTCATTTAATTCATTTATAGTTAATTTTCCTGAACGTTGATTTTTATTGTTTTTTAAATTATATATAAACCTCATTACGTATGCTAAAATTCTTTGTAGCTTGGTTAAATTAGAATAACGGTTGATTTGAATTATTGGATTCGGAAGCATTGCTATATTTGTCTTAATTTCGGATAGTGTTTCGTAGGGTTCAGTACAAGATTTTAATATTGGCCACTCAGCCTCATTCTGAAATAAAAATGAAGGTCCCGTCCACCATAAATTTGACATAATAATTTGATTACCATCCAAGCCCCTGGATATTAAATCTGCTGGGTTAGCTGTAGTAGGGACATATCGCCATGCTGAAGAATGAGTGAGTTCGACAATCTCACTAATGCGATTAGCTACGAATGATTTTAGTTTCGTGACGTCATTATTGATCCATGACAATACCACGCTAGAATCGCACCAATGAATTATGCGATCTGGTGTGTACCTTATGGACGTCTCAATATCCCTACATAATCTGGCAGCAAGAAGTGCAGCAGAAAGCTCCAAACGAGGTATTGTCATGGGTTTAACTGGAGCTACCTTGGATTTGGCACAAAGTAACCTTACGGTAATGTCATTGTTTGCGTCTATTGACCTCACATACACACATGCACCGTAAGCACTTTGAGAAGCGTCGCTGAATGAATGCAGCTCCACACATACAGGTGAGTCGCAAATAACCCACCGTGGAATCTGTAATTTTAGAAGGCAAGGCATATTTTTGATAAAGTTTATCCACTGTTCCCTAATATCATATGGGACTGGTTCATCCCAGTCTATCTTTTGTAACCATAGTTTTTGTAACATCATTTTAGGCTTGATTATACATGGACTTAAGATACCTAAGGGATCAAATAATTTAAATGAATTTGACATTATTACTCGTTTTGTAACTGTTTCGTATTCTAGGTGAAAATTTATCGGGAAATGCAAACAATCATTCGATGGGTCCCAACCAAGCCCGAGAGTGTTCGAAGACTCACTAATAGTTAAATTTTGTTGCGTATCTATATTTGAATTTTCAAACAGATTTTCCAAATTACTTCTATATTTTCTTAAATTAAAACAACCGGATAGTAATATCTCTGAAACTCTATTTTGTATATATCGTAATTCAACTGCATCATTAGATCCAGTGACAAGGTCATCAATGTAAAAATCTCTTTGAATAATACTACTAATTAATTCCTCTTCCTGCCCTTCCCCTAATTTTTTGATACATCTTGTGCTCAAATAGCTCGCACTTGCCGTACCGTAAGTGAGAGTATTTAATTGTAATGTTCTGATGGGCTGGGACTCATCTTCTCTCCACAGAATAAGTTGCAAGTTTCTATCCTCCGATTTCACTTGAACCTGGCGATACATTTTCTCAATGTCACCAGTTAAGAGGTATTTGTATTGTCTTGCTCTTACCAAAATGGAGAAGAGGGAGTCCTGTACATTAGGACCCACCATCAGAATGTCATTTAAAGAATACCCCGAGGAAGAGGGAGCGGACCCATCAAACACTACTTGAAGCTTGGTAGATTCACTACTGTTTTTAAATACAGCGTGATGACATAAAAAGTAAGCTGGATTTGGTTTTAGTATAGGACACTCCGAGAGATGACCTAATTTCGCATACTCTTTAATAAAGTTGGAATACTCCAGTTTTAGTTTAGGCTGCCTTTTAAACCTTCTTTCAAGACAAAGAAAACGTTTTCTTGCTAAATAAAAGGTATCTCCAAGGCAGTCTGTGGAATCTGTTAGAGGTAGTTTAATACAAAACCTACCAGTGTTTAGGCGAACTGTATTGTCTATGAAGTGCTGTTCACAAATTTTGTCGTTCTTACTCATCACTGTTTTCTTAGGAAGTTCTTCAATTTCCCAAAATATTTTGAGCATGCTATCAATATTAGATTCTACTTCAACATGCGATACTGAATGATGACAATTAGTATATTTATTGTATGAATTATGTATAGAATGCGTAGGGCCAGCTATCAACCAGCCAAGTTTAGACTTTATTAATATAGGTTTATTTGGACCTAGAGAACGTTTTTCGTTTCCCAAGATCTCCCAAAACAAATCAGATCCTATCAAAATATCAACTGTACCAGGTTGATTAAAAGTAGGATCTGCTAAATTGATGTCTTGAGGAATGTCAAATTTATGTACATCTATAGGGATCTTTGGAAGATCACTTGTTAATTTATTCATTACCAAACACGACAGTTTAGCAGTAAATTGACTATTTAGAGATGTTATTTGTGTAATACAGGTTTCCCTTACTTTATCATTGCAGACATTACCGATACCAATAACATTTAGCGCGTCTATAGGATTAGAATCTAATGAGAGTTGGTCCTTTAATGTTTTTGTAATAAATGAGGACTCACTACCACAGTCCAGTAAAGCACGTGCCTTTTGTGTCATACCAGTATTAGGATTGCATATTTCGATAACTGCTGTACCCAATAATATAGTGGTATTATTTTGTTTTGAAAAATTAACAATAGTTTCAGATTGGTCAGCACAATTAGAACCAACTGAAGTAGTATTGTTGTGAAGGAGACTATTATGTCTTTTTTTGCATTCGCGACAAGGTCCTAACCGGCAGTTATTTACAGGGTGCCCTTGGCGAAGACAATTAGCACACAATTTATATTTTGTAACCTCAACCCATCGGTCCTTTATGGATTTTGCCTTAAATGTGGGACAGTCGTATATTCGATGACCTTCATTACAAACAACACAGGAATACACATGTGCGTTTGATTTATTTACACTAGTAGTAGCGAATGACTTAGTATCCAAGGGTCGTCGTTGTTTGTAATTATGAGGCGAGAGTGTGGCACCTGTAGGCGTATTATTATGTGGGACATTATTAAATTTATTGCGATTCAATGACTCTAAGACATCAGCACGATCTATTAAGAATTTATAAAACTGATCCAGAGTTGGAATATTATCAAGTGAGTTGCGAAATTCTTCCCATTTTGTAAGTGTACGGCTATCCATTTTAGACGACAACATGAATATAATCAATGTATCCCATTTATCAGTTGGTTGACCTAAATTGGTTAAAGCACGAAGATTTTTTGTAACGTGATCAACCAAAAATCGTAAACCTTTCTCGGATTCGCGATTAAGCGTTTGTATGCTAAACAATGAACTGAGATGGAAGTTAACAAGCAATCTTTTATTATCATAGCGCTCACAAAGCAGCCTCCATGCTTCATCATAGTTAGCTGAAGATACTTCGAGATTTGAAATTATTCGTGCAGCATCTCCTTCCAAATAGGAAGCGAGATAGTGAAATTTGTTTATAGGTTTAATACGGTCGTTATTGTGAATTAAATTTTCAAATGTATCGCGAAAGTCTAACCAACGAAAGTAGGCGCCATCAAACTTAGAAATTTGTAAGTGAGGTAATTTGAAACTAATTTCATGGTGATCGAGAGAACAATGGGATTCATGAACCATAGACTCTCGTCTTTGGTCATTTTCTAATTTATTATATTTTTCTATTAAGGTTTTGGCTGCGGCTATATTAATAATAATGTCGCTCTCAATGTTTTCTCGCTCATCCAATTCTATACTCATATTATCAGAATTCAACACCTCTATCTCACTTTGCAAATCATCAAATCTCACGGATAAACCCTCGAACTTACTAAGTTTTAGTTTTAACTCAACTAATTCGATGTTTGATAACTGTAGTTTAGTGTTTAAATTATTTAGATAGTTTTTAAATTTAGTAATTTGGCCTTTTATTGAGCTACGCTTTATGTTTAAATCTCTTAGTTTTGCTGTACCGTACATCGGTTTATCAGTGGGATTCGACATTTTTTATAAACTGGCTTCACTATCAATCAATCAATTTCTTTGAAATAAAAAATAAAAATAATGATATTCTCACGCTTCTCACTGCAAACCCTTGGGAGACTTGGCGTGCGCTGACAATGAAGCAGCAGTGGTGTGCTGCTGCACTTGTAGGATGAATATTTGCAGACAACCTGGAATTGTTCAGCAATTCGCATAAATACGCTGTACTTAACTTAATTAAATACAATAGCTAGAATACAAACTTCAAAATACAGAAAAACTAATACGACTATAGTAACTATAAAATGTACTGTAACTTACAAAAATAGAAGGAATGATTAAAATCTGTAAACACAAAAGTATAATCTAATAGATAACCTCCTTTTATGAAGTCGGTTAAGATATAAAAAACATAAGAAATGGCAAACTATTGCTAATTTATTAAATCAATATTTTCACCAAACAATAAACTTATCTTTAATTTATAAGACCAGTACTATTTTTCCAAAACAAAACCTATTTTATACAATTATACAACTAATTATGCATTAAGGTATAAGTATTCTATTTTGTAATGTGTTAAAAGAAATATATATGTATTATGCAATTTTTTGTTACCAAAATCAATATTTCAAACAAGGTATGAATATATGAATATAGGTATATATATATAGGTATGTAAAATATATTACGGTATTTATTTTATTATGAGTTTTCTATGATTATTATGTTACTAATAGTAAAGAATTACCTATTGACTTAATTTTAGGTTAGATTCAATTTTGTTTTTCAGAATTATATGATCTTATTTATATGCATAAACAATTAAATCACAGGTATGACTTGCGAAAGCATGTACTAATAGAGGTATAGGATAGATTGGTATTTGTAATTTAGGTTAATTTAGTATGATTAGGCAAGGACAAAGGAAATACACTTATCTTTTTTGTAATACTGCGCTGCGGTGTGAAACTTTAGCTGCCTCACTGCCCTTTTTATGATATTGCTTGATGTATGTAGATTATTTGTCAATATTCATGTATTTTCCTCTTCAAATACCAAACTTTAATGTACTTGCATATTACGGCGTCATCCGATTCACTTGATTTCGATCAGATGATAATGTGTGATTTCTTCATATAATATTGTTTCTCTTCATGGGCCACCAATTTATGTCTTGTATAACATAATGGAGCTTCTAATGAAACCCAGATTTATATATTTAAGTATTTTAATTTCGACAACGTTTTACAAATTAGGTAAGTACAAAAGAAGAGAACTCAATAATCGACAAACGTCTATATAAGAAAAAAAAATAAAAATTATGCAGGTATACAAAAAACAAGTGCGCGACTATATAATGCATCTTCTTGGTGCTATTAAAATATATCAGGCGCTTTAGGCCTGAACAGACAGCTAATTGTTGCTTTCACGACTGCTGACAAAGCCTTCGATTACTCCATATGGAGCAACAGAAGTAACGATGTTTTTAGGGACAATGAACTTAGCGCCATCTAATCACACGGTAAGCAGTGCTTGTGTTATGGGTACTAGACAACTGATATAAATATTTACAATTTTTGTACATACATACATACTAATATTATATAGCTGAAGAGTTACTTTTGTTTGAACGCGCTAACCTCAGGAACTACTGGTTGGAATAGAAAAAATATATTTGTGTTGGAAAGTCCATTTGTCGAGGTTTTAATAACACTACGCTACGACTAATAGGCTGCTGCAATAAAAACTATTGCAAAAGGTGGTCAGCTAGTACATAATATACATAGAACACACCCCCAGTTTGAAACAAACAATTATACTCGTGAATACAAATGTTCGCATCGTGCGAGGAATCAAACCCACATCCATCGGCAGTAAAGTGGTGGGAATTGTAGCTAAACCGCGAGACCGTGAATGTTTATGAATGGTACACGGTGTACGTAGCGAAACCGTCAATATGTTTATCATTCATAATCATACAGGATGTACGTACTTGTAAGGCGGACGCCCTCTCCTTCTCCCTGGAGGCCTGCAGCGCGGCCTCGAGCGCGGCGACTCTCTTCAGCGCGGCCTGCCGCTCGTCCGACAGCTTCTCCATCTCTTTGTGCACCGTGTCCCTAACAGAACAGTATTATTAATCACTGGAGTAGCATAATATTGACTCATCCGTGGCTACATCTTGATCTTTCATTTTTAAACTCCCTTCACTTGCCTTGCGCTTCACATGACAGAATGCCGATTTAAGGTCAAGTGACATGACCCTTCGATCAACTGAGTGAGCTTAAATAATGAATGAAAGAAAGAAAGAAAGAAGAAAGAAAAATATTTTATTCGGTGCAATGTAAAAAATACAATATAAAAACCAAACGAAAAAAAAAGAGCAAATAAAATGTACATATAATTAAAATGATTACATATAATTAAAAAAGCCTCACTGATTGTAAGTAACTATCAAAATGAGAGGAAAAAAAACTATCAAAATGAGAGGATTGTTAATAATACGGACTAGTAGTCTCTTTGTTAGGAATGTACCATGTATATGTTCGATGTCCATGTAGTCCTCTTGAAAATCATTCAAGTTCATCTTAATGAATTCGCCAAGATAGGCGAACTGAACTTACACCTATACCATCAAGTAAAATTCGATATCTTCAGCATTTTTATTCCTGCAAATTATAATGTTACACCCTGGAATTACGCTATCATATGTCAGTCCACAAAGGCCGTTAACCTCAGTGCGGTTTACAGCTTCGGTGGTCTTTATTTTAACCAAATTAATTATATTATAATTTCGTCAACCAGGCGTGCACTAGCACGTAGTAGACAGAGAGGGAGTATAGCGTGTCACCTCTCGCTCATGATGAGGGTGTACTCTGCCATGGCGGCGTTGCGTTCGTCGGTGAGGCGCTTCATGTCGGCTCGCTCCCGCAGCCCGCCCTCCCACTGCCGCAGCACGCTGCCCACCTGCTGCTTCAGGGCGTTGCGCTCGCGCACCTGCACACACACACACACACACACCACACGATTTTCATTTAATGTTAGACATAACCTGTATGAATACACATTGTAAATAACCTGCAATACATATATATACAACAGCTTGAAGCCTAGGAGGGTCGCTAATCTATACATATAAATAAAGTTGGAGTGTCTGTTTGTAATATTGAAATAACCGTTTTTTACTACATGCATATGAATATACGCAATATACGATACATACACCAAAATAACATTTTTTTGTCTGTCTGTTTGTTCCAGCTAATCTCTGAAATGGCTGGACCTACTTTGACGGGACCTTTTTTGGGAAGTAGTTTATGTATTAAGGAGTAACTTATGCTATTTTTATTTTAGAAAAATAAAGTTAAGTTCCACGCGGACTCGAAATCGCGGATACAGCTAGTCTAAATATATATAACTCAAAGGTGACTGACATAGTGATCTATCAACGCAAACCACTGGACGGATCGGGCTGAAATTTGGCATGCAGTTAGATGTTACGACGTAGGCATCCGCTAAGAAAGTATTTTGATTAATTCTACCCCCAAGAGGATAAAATAGGGGATGAAAATTTGTATGAAACTTTGTCAATTTTAAACCGATCGGGCTGAGATTTTGCATGCATAAAGCTACTATGACGTAGGCATCCCCTAAGAAAGGATTTTGATAAATTCCACCCCTAAAGGGATAAATTAACGCGAGCGAATCCGCGAGCAAAAGCTAGTTATAAATAAAGAAGTAAACTTATAACTCACTATGGAATTTCGTTCCTGTGTCAGCTCATGACATTGTGCTTTCAACCTGCTGTTCTCCTCTTGTACTATTTGAAGTTTCTCAAATGTTGTGTTGTGTTTTTCTATTAAATCTTCATACCTGGAATAAAAAACTTATGTTGGTAAACCTCAGTACTCATAAACTATAGAGACAAAAGATTGATTTACCAATTAACAAAATGGTTAGAACCAATAGGCAAAAGGCGAGTAAGGAGACAGGAAATAGTGATCCAATGACAGGGATTTCAGGGATAAGCATATATCCTATGCTATAAAATTAATATATATATATGTGTGTATTTAGAACTCACATTTTCCGGTAACACTCGAACTCATCCTTAAGAGTTTCGTACTTCCTAAGTGTGTGCACCATGGCATCAGGGCTTCCCTCAGCGGTGCTGTTCTGTTGAAGGTGTTGCACCTCGCGCTCCAAGCTGTAACAATAATCGAAATAAAATGCTTTAAATATACTCAAATTCTTTAAATTGGATAGTGGTTAAACAAATTCGAGTTCATTGAATGAGAGATTCAACTAACTAACTAATTGTCGTTGTGTTACCTAAATGTCCTTTGGCTAAAGTTAGTAATTCGTTTTATGGCAATTGCGTAAGGTTTTGCAATAAAATACCAGAGTCTGTTATAATTCTGCGAGAAAAAAGATATAAATGTCAAATAAAACAGTTCCTTTGCAAAAAGGCTTACTTAAAATTGAAGAATTCGTTAACGATAATGTTTTTATAGAAAAACTTTAAATCCATAGGGCTGATTACACTAATAATGAGTGCGTAGCGATTTCTATGTTGATTATCGCATGCCTCTTACTTGTTATACTGTAATTATATATATAAAAAAAAATTATTAAAAAGCGCAACACACAAGTTTCTTGCTCATTCTTCTTGTGATGAATCTGCATTCCGAATGAGTGGTAGAATCAAAATATGACTATTAAAAAATGCTTGTAAAGAGTTTATTTGAATAAAGATTATTTCTTTTTTCTATTTTCACTAACTTTTATTGGTTATTCCAATTTAGTATTAAGCAGGTGATGTAGAGGGACACGAGTACAGAGTCGCTTGTTTAAAAAAAAGTTTAAAATTTACTTTTAAAAAAATTATGTTCTTATAGGACTTTAGAGCAAGTATTAGAGTATTGAGCACATGACGGCCTCGGTGGTCTAGCTATTTAGCACCTTATGGTGCCGGATTAAGGTTTGAAATTAAAGAAACATTTAAATGTTACTATAGCGGTAGATTGAACCAAAGCATAGACAAACTGTCATCTCACCGCTGTTTATCGCTGAGCAGATCATTACATTTGCCGCGTAGACTACTGGCCTCCTGTGCCGATACCTCGAGTTGATTCATGGCTGCTCTGTGCTGTCCACGTACATATTCCAACTCCTGAAATATTAACATCAACGTCAAATTATGTATTATATATAAAATTCTCGTGTCACAGTTTTCGTTCCCATACTCCTCCGAAACGGCTTGACCGATTCTCATGAAATTTTGTGAGCGTATTGAGTAGGTCTGAGAATCGGCCAACATCTATTTTTTATCCCCCTAAATGTTAGGGGTAGTCCACCCCTAAATTATTTTTTATCAAGGCAAGACGAGACAGATCAAGATTTTTTAGAAGATTGTAGAAATATTTCGCTGGTATACCTCTTGATCCCATTTCGATCGCATATAAATGGTTAATTTATATGCGATCGATATGGGATCAAGCATAGCCATTTCTCGGTAATTCATTTATTACTTGTAACATTCATTTGTTTTTGGGTACGTTTTTAAGCGTATACGTTTGCCAGAGTATAGTGAGCTCTACAAGTACTACCATAGATAACGATTGTTTATCATTTTCCAGTGGGTTTGTTAAAAAAATTGTTACTAAACTATAAGTGACTGACCTTCATGACATGCTCGCACCTCCTCGATGTCTCTGTGTGCTGTCGCCGTAGCTGATTGATCTCGCATGGCTCGTACGGTCCGCTCATCACGTGAGCACCGTGAGCTTTCACCGTGTAGCTCGGCTTGTCGTAGCACTGGTTTGCAGTTAGGACTTCATACTCGATTGGTATTGGTACGGTTGGTATTTGGGTACTGTTGTGTCGTTCGTTACTCACATAACTGTGGGGTATTGACTCTGTAATCATAGGGTAGCGGGTTAGTAGTGAGTAGGGCGAAATAGGTCGCCCTAACAACGAGATGAGGCTGCCCTACACCATGCAGGGCGAACTAACGCCGTCGGAGTCGCGGTAAAATGCGAATGCGACCGTGACCAACCTATACACCGTGTGGTTTTTTAGTGGCTAAGAATCCACACACCCTCGTCAGCCCTTTGGCGAGGGGAAGGTCTTTTAAAGATATAACGATAAATTAAGGTATTCCTATAAGTGCAGCTGGAGTATATGACGTCGGAATACAATTGGAAGATGATTTATAAAAATTGTATATATTGTCTTGAGAGCAATGGTCTAAACATTTATGGCCCATTTAAATACAAAAATCACGCCACCCACTATAAATGAGATTCCACCATCTGGGAATATATCTTACGATGTTGCTCTTCAAATAAATAAATGGATTAACACACGCGGATGGAGATATGATTTATCTTCAAGTTTCTAAAGATGCAGAGTGATTGATCTATCAAATTTTATCAGATCTAAAACATACGTGAAGATAACATCAGCAGATAAATTCGACGAAACGTTAAGTTGTTATTACATTGTAGGTATAGATTCTAACGCATCTGTTTGTCATAGTTAGATGATTATATCTTTATGAGAAAATTCTCACAGATAACTAGTAGGTACACGCGTTCCGTTTGTGATAACTTCAAAACAATAATAATTATCACGACTTCTATTCAATATAACTAACACTTAATCACATTTTTACCTATGGGACACAGTCACCTAGATACATCAAAATAATAATTGCATTTAATAATGTCTAGTAAGACAAATTCAATATTGTCTACTAGGCACTGCTGTAAAACTGTGTCAAACATTTTCCTACTTTTATTTAGTATATAAGATCATTATTTCTATGTACATATTGTCAGTTTATAATCATCTGTAAAATACATCGTCTCGACCAGCAACATCGTATTATTCACCCGCAACAGTGGTGACCCCGACGTGATCTGGCCGACGTGGTCGAGACGATACCTGGGAAAACGACGAGATCAAACAAGAAATCTCTGTCTTAAAAACGATTACACATTTCCACCGGCTTCCCAGAAGCGGGTCTCACCGGCTCGGAAATTCAAGAGGCATAAAAGTCGTTGGCAATACTGCGCAACAAGGATCCTGCCGTGCTACTGACTGCCTGCTGGATATAATCTCTGGACGAAAAATTGAAACTGGAAAAATAAAGCAAAAATGCTGTCTACAAAAGTACAGCCAACAATCACCGCCGACGTCATTGCACACCTGTCATCACTAATTGCGACACTGCGATCAGAAATTGCTGATATACGCGAAAAGCGCTCGCCACACACAAACAGACGCAGCAACTACCGATCTAGGTCAAATTCGCACCTACGGTCATTGCATAGTCAGAAAAATGACAATTTATATTATATCATCGAAATATAAAGAAAAGGCATACAAACGACATGCCGCGCTCCTATAGACAACCGTCGGAAAACTAGATTCGACGCAGAATAAGACGGAACGCTGTGCTGTTCATCCGTCTAACCGCCTAGCTATAACCGACTCTAACAGTGGCTATAGAATTTTGGTGGACACCGGAGCAAAAATCTCGATGAATAAAAAACAAGCACAGACCAAAGAGAGCGCTAGCGAAATCAAATTATTCGCCGCAAACAATTAATATGAGCAAATGCGTGTTCTTCACAAATGAGTTAGATTTTGTTGGTTATCATATAACGAGCCAAGGGATGAAACCAACGCAAGAAAAATGGCAAGCAATCGACGAGTACCCTAAACCCCCGACAGTCGAAGATTTACGTCGTTATTTGGGTATAATCAATTTTTATTGTTACTAAAGTGCATAATATCTTAAATTTTACAGTTAACTTTTATAATTTTTTTTTATGTGTAATATATATTTTTTTCTCTCAAGGGGGGAATATCTATGGGACACAGTCACCTAGATACATCAAAATAATAATTGCATTTAATAATGTCTAGTAAGACAAATTCAATATTGTCTACTAGGCACTGCTGTATCTAAACTGTGTCACCCCACCTTACATTTTCCTACTTTTATTTAGTATATAAGATCATTATTTCTATGTACACATTGTCAGTTTATAATCATCTGTAAAATACATCGTCTCGACCAGCAACATCGTATTATTCACCCGCAACATTATATACATATTTATTTTATCGAATAAAAAGTAATCATCAAAAATAAATAATGCTGAATATTTCCCAAAATATTTAAGAATGTAATTTGTAAACCAAGTTTTTAATGTCGTTTAAAAAGCTGGTGTCAACTATTTAGTGCGAGTGATTATTCTAAATCTCACCTGATAAGGACCGATGATATTGATTTTGCTTAAAACGACCGAAAGTAAAGTCACTCTCAACTCAAAAAAATGAATGCTAAGAAAAATTCACCCTGTTTTCTATGCTCATAAAAATGCATAACCTTATAATGTAAAGAAATGATACTAATAATATAATGACAGGAGTCTCAGTTCGTCTAATGTGTAAAAATACAAAACTTTTCATATAAAATCATACTGATATCAAAGATTTGGATATAGGACATGAGTGTAGAAATGTGTAATTAGAACCAGAGAAGTGTTTTAATGGTAAGATGGTAGACATTGAAGTGACATATTACATAATTTTGTTTTTGTAGTTTTGATTAAAGAATGCAAAAAATAAACTTTAAATACATATATTAATATCAAAAGAGTTTCGCAACAATGAGCCTATGTACCAGTCATAAAGTAATCAAGAGCAGACTGCTCCTGTAAAATGCCTCTAAAATTCTATAAAACACAGAAATGCAATTGTGAGACAGTGTTATTTGCAGTTTGCAGATACAAGTAACTTAGTTAAGGCATCAAGGTATACATTATTGTAAATAGCTTACAATAGTTTATTTTTTACTCACAGAATATTTGAACTGTCTGTATGAAGTTGATTAATTCATTATCTATCAATTGCTATAGTTGTATGTGGTTACACTGCAATGTTTAGATTAATAAAAGTAGTATTTGAGTTGGTATAATGCTTTGGATCCTACTAAAATTAATTAAACCATTTGATTCAGACTACATTTCTTGTAATGCTTGCACGCTAGTAACTTGTAACTTGCCAGATTTATTCTTTATTATATTACTAACTACAACAGTTGTACTTTCTGATTAACAAATAAACTTTTTATCACTTATATGTTTAAATAAAAACACTCTCTCGATATATTATGTATAACATATTGTTCTAAGTTCAATGTTGACAAAATCTTCATATTGATTGACAGTGGGATGAGCACTATACTACTATATTATATATATATTGCTACCATAGTAGTCTTGCCTCCAAATCCATAACAGCCTAAATATTAGGCTAAATGCAGAAAAGAAAGTTTTACTAGCTCACAATACTGACATATCACTAAACATAAACATTATCAATAACAGACACATCAACAAAATCACTAAATTGTGGATACAAAGTGGGCAAGATAATAATCTATACATATAAATAAAATTGGAGTACCTGTTTGTAATATTGAAATAATCGTTTTTTACTACATGCATATGAATACAGTACATACACCAAAACAACATTTTTGTTCCGGCTACTCTCTAAAATGGCTGGACCGATTTTGATGGGACTTTTTTTGGCAGGTAGCTGATGCAATAAGAAGTAAATTAGGCTACTTTTATTTTAGAAAAAGAAAGTTAAATTCCATGCGGAGGAAGTCGCGGGAACAGCTAGTTAGATATAAAATAGGCCAATTAGTTTTTACTTGACAGTAAAAACTAATTTTCCCATTTTATATCTTAGTCTGCATACTTCATACAGAGCACTGAAAATATTTGACCACTTATTAATATTTTTACAGTTTTAAAATTATAGTTAGGTACCGTCCAAAAACATATATAACCCAGTCAGCAGAATAAACATAGTTACACACCATTTTAATCCTATACTATCGTAACAACTATGGCAACATAACACAAATACAGTGGTGCAAATAAAGGAAAACCCAAAATAAACCTAGAGCTACCACAGTAATGGTTGCTAAATATCCTACTTCGATGAGAGGAAGCCCCAATAATAATGGGTTGTTATAGATTGAACATAGCGAATACTAAAGTAAAAATCAGTACAATTATTGTATAAATAGTAGTAAGATAGTATAGTAAATACTATCTTACTACTATCGTTACTTTATACCTTTTTTATTTTTAACAATCTCAGGGGAAAGATATGTTATGTACTAAAGTGGGTACTTTGTAAAAGAGTGGACAGATGGCATTCTGGCCAGTGTGATGTGCTTCGAAAAATATGTGTTTTAGTGAGTATATAATAATTACATTAAAAATTACTACCAATATAAAATTATACCTGAAGCAAATATGATAATTATATTCAATATTTGATTAAACAATTTTGATTTATATATACATCATCCATTATTAATTGCCAAACATTAAATAATAAAAGTAATACCATTAATTTCTGTCCTCTCACATTAATTCATTTGGGTGGTGCATCCAAATAGCATCATTATGAATATTTATTATCATTGATACTAACCATTGCTGTCATTACTCTCCAAGGATGATGTACCAGATGCCATAATATATCTGAAATTAAATATTAGTTGGATAAACAAACCAATCTAATGAAATCATGAACGTAAATAGTTCAACAGTGACACATTACCTTATTCGTTAGATTCTACAGTCCATTGTCCCGTAACCTAGGAATGACAATATGATAAATATAATGAGCAAATCTTAATAAATATTAACATAGGGTGGAAGTTTGACACCTTTTCTACGCTCTAATGATCGTTGCAAAACTAAGCCGCACAAGTGTACGCTGTCGCAATTGCAAACACATTATTTTCGAACTAAGGAAAGGCACGGATGAGTTCGCGAAAAGAAGTGAGTTTACATTAAAATCTTGTAACAGTACACCGACGCGGTCCATCAACACCATCAGGGGGCATCCAAATCACATAACAGACACGGCGAAACAAACAAAAGCTCTACTTTCGCTGCCAATACGAATTTTGTTACATGAAAATAATAGGAAGTGAACTATCTAGAGCGATATAAACAGAAACGTCGCCAAAGCGGCTACTTTTGAACAATCCGTACCTCAATTTCCACCTAAGCTATAAATCAATGAAAAACAACTTCAAACAAAAAGATAACACGTATTTTATTGTCACTAATTTGCCAACATTTCTCGTTTCTACCTTTTAAAGCAAGAAAGGCGAATTCAGCTGAATGATGAATGAATGACGGACATTGATGATGACGGACGACCGCAGTGTTACCATTCTACCAAATAAACACAGTAGTAACCAAAAAACAAAAATTGCGGAAGATAGATTTTACAAAACCATAGACTTAGAAGATTCCGTCGTGAACGATTTTTTACTTACCGCAATGTATTAGTCAAGTCAGTGAAGTAAAATCTCAACTTATTATGTACAATAATTATAATTTTAATAAAAACAGTAACTAATTAAACTGTTGAAAAATTTACACAGACAGCCCATATTAATTAAAAAATTAGATAAACAATTTTTTTCCTTGAGATAAAACTTGGGAACATTTTCTACTGATAACTTGAGTACTGACTTGAAGCACGTACTATTATGACATTATTACAAATAAATTTATTCTAAATAATATTTTTCTATACATTAACTTTGTTATTAGGAGATTTACCGTTATACACATTGAAAGTATAATTTCTATTCGGCTTTTATTTATTTCATGTTATTAGAAAAGATTCCTACTGAATTATTTTGTGAAAAATTCCTTTCCATTTACAAATAAGTTTAAGAATGTTTGTCAAATAGTTAAAATATTTGATTGATCAAGTATTGTTTACTAAAATGAACTGTCATTCAAGAATTCTGTCATCGTTATATAGTTCGTTGTAGTTCACTCACTCGAGTGCGACGAGTACGCCTCTAGTAGTGTACTTTTCGATTTCATTCGTCGTACTCGTACAAAAATGACACGCAATAGCAAGAACCAATAAAAAACGACGCGCAAATACATGAGTTTTGTAAATTGAGTGGTTATGCGTCCAAACATTTATTAATAATTCGGCTCTCCACATTTCTAAAACTTAGAAGTTTGTTGGCAGTGCGCTTTATAAAGGAATATTGAATGTTTTGATGTCGTCAAGCATGACCACGGCGTGACTTCCATGCCCTGCGAACCTACGGAAGGGCGTGCGGTGCAGATTACGTTTACTATGAATGATTTTATCTCTTTCTAAACTCGAGTGTCTGTGAATGACCGAGTGTAATAGCGAGCGTACCAAATTATGGATTGAATAGTGTTTGTTGTTGATCTACTACGATTATTTTGCAAAGATAAAATTTGATCATCGTGTGTTATCGTGTTCTGTGGAATCCGTGGCGCCATCAGGCAAGTCATATGGCGCGAGTGGAATTACGCGGGACTCCACGAATTCGTTACGCTGGTGAATTTATTTTATTCGCTACTATTTACGCACTATACCAAAAGGATAGTACGTATTTTTAGTGACGGCGTGTGTCACAGCGTACTAGCGTAGGTTCAACAATTTGGGTGACTTTCATCAGTGGAGTAAACAACTTCAAGGTTATTGGTTGGCATGTGCCAGTGTTGTCTGTGAAGGGACTGGGATGCGGGCGCGTTAACATGTCTGCCGGCACGGCGGGCGGAGGCGGAGGCTCGGCCGCGGGCGCGGGTGCCGTGGTGCGCCAGGGCCACCTCCGCAAACTGAAGACGATGAGGAAGAAGTATTTCGTGCTGCGCGCCCAGACCGCGGACTGTTCGGCACGGTTGGAGTACTATGAATCTGAGAAGAAATTCAGGGCGGGAGCGGCGCCTCGTCGCACGTTGCCACTGAAAAGTTGTTATAACATTACCAGGAGGCTCGACTTGAAACAGAAGCATGTCATAGCTCTGTTTACTAAGGAGGAGCAGTTCTGTGTGGTGGCTGAGAATGAGGTGGACCTCCATGCTTGGCTGACTGACATCCTGAAACAGCATGGCTCTGATGATGCGAGCGAGGAGCTACTGCATCCTATTCGTAAGTTATTAATATATATATTTATCACATATTATTTACACATAAATACTTTATTTAAATGATTTGTGTTATTTCCCTATCATTTTACTTTTATGGTTACACACATTACTAGTATTTCTTACCTAATTTTCTTCTATAGTATATACATGCATATTCAGCACAGTGATGTACAGTTGCTAACATTTAGTGAATGAAACTGTATTCAAAATTAATTAAAAAGGTATTTAATTGAAATCTAAAAATAATATTCTAATAAAATGTAAATTAGAATAAAAATATCTACACAGAATATTCTATATTCTATATTTAAATAACAAAATAACAATTGTATTAATAATAATAATAATAATAAACTTTATCAGGCAATGACACTTTTACTTTTAATACACATTACTGCGAACTACACACTAGATATGCAAGTCTGTGTCATGTGGTTCAGAGGATATCATGATATTGATATGATATTTAATTCAAAATAATTGATTCTAAAGTTTATTACAATTATAATAAATTTAAAAAATATACAGTAAACTTAATTTACATTACAAAACCACTCATGCATCATGCAAAGAACTGGTTTTGGAAAATTCAGTCCAATTTTAACTAAAATGCTGAAATATCCTTATTGATACTAAAAAACTACAACATAAATTGGTGACGATTAAATATAATGCAGAACTCCAGGTATTAAAAAAACCACATACATGTCTCCCGCAGATTTCATTTCACAGTCTCATCAAATAAATATTTAATTGAATAAAATCTCCTTGGTTAAAAATAAACACCACTATTATTATGAAAAGGAAATATTTGTATTCAATAATTATAGTAATTGATTTGAATATTTGTATATAATATTTAGTAATAGATAATAGTAAATAGTAATATAAATAGAAAATAGTAGTATAATATTTAGAATTAGTTTAACTAATTCTAAATATTATACTACTAATTAGTAACAGAATAGACACAGATTTGTCTTCTTATTTTTTTTTATGTTTCTGGAAGCTGTTGAAGTCAGTATATTTGTAATGACTAAACTGAAAAGGAATGGGACTTCAAAATATCTTACTCTAAAACTGACCAGTTTCAATATTTCTTTCACCATTAGAATACAATATCATCCCTCACTAACATAGGCTAAATTATATACTAGAATATTTGTTTCCCTAAAAATTAAAACAGTGTGAACTGTGAAGCCAAGTTGAGCAGGTATATCTGAATATCTTTATATATAAAAATTACGTGTCACGTTGTTTGTCCGCGATGGACTCCTTAACTACTGAAGTGATTGCAAATTTGATTTAGACATTGTGCAATTTGATCCAACTTGAAAGATAGACATATAGAGATAGACTTGATAGCTTACATCTTAATCTAATAGTCACAATATTATTTTATTCAATAACCATAGCCACAGCAATGCCTGGCTGGGTCTGCCAGTTAATTAATAAAGACTTTAAGTCAAATAATTTTCATTTAAAAATAATGTTTAGCATATTTTTACTTTAATTTCAACATCCATACTAATATAATAAATGCAAAAAGAATTTTTGTATATCTGTTCTGTTAATTTTTCATGACTAAATGGTTGAAGGAATCTTAATTAAATTTAACAAAAATATTTATAATATAAGGATATCTTTTATTCCAAATAGTTATATGGAAGTGGTGAAATTGGGGTGAAAGTTTCTGTATGTAGCTGCGGGTAGCAGATATTAATATATAGTAACTAGCTACTCATTCCGGCTTCGCATGGGTGTACATGTATTGCATATATAAACCTTCTTCTTGAATCATTCTATCTATTAAAAACGGCTCCAACATCCATTGTGTAGTTTTAAAGATTTAAGCATAGGTAGGGACGGACATACAGCGAGAGTGACTTTGTTTTATTCTATGTAGTGATAACATTTAGTAATGACAATTGCAACACTTAATAGGATAATTAAAGATATAATCATGGTAAATATAATGCTTGCCATGGTCATATATCATAGGAGTATGGTATGGAAATGATGAATGACAAATCTAATTATCTCTCTTATTAATTTGATTTCATTATTAATATGTCTTTAATATGTGATCACTATATTCTTAAACAAATTATAAAAGTAGTGCCCACATAATATATGACAGTAATAGTGTTTTCGTAGCCAAAGAGTCAGTCAGTACAGATACATTTAAATAAATAATGTTTTTGGTCCGACACAGATTCAAACTTGTAACATTTAGGGTCTGTAAATGACTCTTTCATTTGTAACTAGTTTTTAGTTGTAAGTTTTACTATATTTAGGGTCTAAACTCTAAGTTTATATTATTAGAAAGGTCCACTGGCTGTATAAACTGCATGACTGACAAAATTGTATTGAAACAATAATATAAAGTGTTTTTCCATTTTTTTAAATACGCAAGAATGTCGGAATAACATCTTTTGTTTTTGATTTTGAGTGAAGAATTAAAAATAAATTATTTATTTCCTAGCTTGTTAGGAATGTCAATAATTTATTTTGTATTACCATAGACTTTAAAAAATTAAATAAATGACAATATATCTTAAAATATAGCCTATGTCTATGTTCTTGCTACAGTCTATCTTCACATCAAACATTAAGATACATTCTACTATTTAGTCCTGTAAAGGTTACAAACAGACTGACAGATATTCTTTAATATTTATAACTAGCTGTTCCCACGACTTCGTCTGCGTGGAATTTAACTTTATTTTTCTAAAATAAAAGATTTTTCTAATATAAAATTAGCCTAAATTACTCCTTATTACATCAGTTACCTGCCAAAAAAAGTCTCGTCAAAATTGGTCCAGCCATTTCAGAGATTAGCCGGAACAAACAGACCGACAGACAGACAAAAATTGTAAAAAGTGATTTTTGGTGTATGTACCATATTTAAATTCGTATGCATATGCATGAATAGTAAAAAATGGTTATTAGAATATCACAAACAGACACTCCAATTTTATTTATATTTATAGATTAGGAAGGAACATGTGATTAATAACATCTAAAGTCATAAAATATGTAATCAAACAATAATAATAAATTTATTTTATTATTTTAATTACAAGATGAAGTATCAGTAAACAATTACATTGTTTACTTAAAAACAATTAATATAAAATTATTACCTGCTATTGATTTTAATTGTTTAACCATCTAACTACCCTGACTTTGCACGGGTCTTGATTCACTCTATATATTGCTAAAAACTGCATTGAAATCTGTTGCTTGGTTCAAAAGATCTAAGCAAATAGACATTCCACTGCTTAGATCTTAGCGAGTTTATTTTATACTATGTAAAGATTAAATGGTATATTTGTAATACTGCAATCAATTCTCCCATCCTCTCTCTCCTATTAAAATACTGTTGGTTGAGTTCGAGAGACATTGGTGTGCCAAATAATTTAATAATTTTAATAATGCCAAATAATTTAATAATTAATTATTCTGGTGACAAAATTAAAAAAAAAATCAAATTAAAAATATCTTTATTCAGGTAGATAGCTAATAGACTCTTTTAATATATCAAATCTAACATCAGTTCAAGTGGTTTTGAGCTAAGAAGAACTGACAAGAAACTCAGCTTGTATTCTTTTCAAATATTGTTTACAATGATACAGATTCATTTTTAAATTCAAATTTGGGAGAATAGAGTGAGCATATGCTAGTGCAAAAGCAAAACGTCTAATCAGTGTGCGTAACCTGAAGCGACCACTCCCCACAAGCAGCACCCGTTCACGAGTATGACGGACATTATTGTGAAGTAGTAAAGTGTATATATTCATTAGTTGTTTTTTAATTATTGATAATGGAATGGTGCACCCGCCTGCGCTAACAGGTAACGCTGGTGGGGTACCAGTGAAGGATACTAAGATGAATATGAGGTCTATGATTCATTACTTATTTATAATAACTTGAAAGACACAAATGTTAGATAAAATCGGGATTGTTATCTATACATATAAATAAAATTGGAGTGTCTGTTTGTAATATTGAAATAGCCGTTTTTTACTACATGCATATGAATAAATATGGTACATACACCAAAATAACATTTTTTACAATTTTTGTCTGTCTGTGTGTTTGTTCCGCCTAATCTCTGAAATGGCTGGACCGATTTTGACGGGACTATTTTTGGTGGATAGCTGATGTAATAAGGAGTAACTTAGGCTACTTTTATTTTAGAAAAATAAAGTTAAATTCCACGCGGACGAAGTCGCAGGAACAGCTAGTCTATAATATATTTATGATGCTGACTGTACCAAACATCAGTTGGTATTATGAATGAAACTTATAAACATTGACAATAATGTGTTTGTTTATGTTCTTCTTTCCTTCAGTTCAATAGTTCTCGAGATCAATTATCCTTGTTATACAAACAAACCTATTGTCCTTAATATTTTTTATTAAACTTCCATATGTAATTAAAAATACTTAATATAGTTATAAAAAAATTACAAGCGTGACCTTATAAGTTTTCGTTTATTAATAAACGATGCTTTAATATTATAAATCTATTTATAATAATAATTTATCTATTTATAAATACAGGAAAATACCGAAATGTACTAAAATTAAACTTACATTTTTTTAACTACATAATATGTATGTATATGTTTTTATATATCTATATACCTCATATTTAAAAATCATTCACATACACACAATCTACAGAATCCAAATATATTTAAAATATATAATATAGTTTCCTACTTTTTGACCTGTACTCCTAAAAAAAACATATCTTATCTCTATCACATTGAAGTTAAAATTTCAATATAAAGTATAAAATTATTTTTACTAAAATCCTATAATAACTAACCTTCTATCTTATACGTACTTATTGAGATATGCAAATTAAAAATTGAACTTACAATTTCATCTATATAAACAATTAGTTGTGCCCCCGGTTTTGATCCGCATGAAATTTATAACCTATATGTTATTCTGATGTATAAGCTATATTACTGTAAAGGTTCATCA